TTTTTCGCATGCTCGAAATAGATTTAAGGTTCTTTTAACAAATTTTTTTAGGACTTCACTCAAAATATAATACCTAACTCCTATACGAATTGGCCCGCCCTAATATAAAACGAATGTTGGGTTTTTTTCGGCCCCTTATGAAAATTTCGCTGTTGGTCACAAAAATATAATTGTGGAAAAATTTCAGCCCACTATCTCTATTTTTCAGTTAGCGCTCGCAAAAAATAATAATTTTTTGGTGAAACAAATTTGTTTCCGCAACTTTTTTAATAAAGACTTAAATACTTATAACACATTAAAACAAACAAATTTCTAGTATTGAAAGTGCAAGCTTCAAGTAGCAGTGAGTCTACGCAGATTTTTGGCAATTATTTTTTTTACGGTATCAGTCATATTCTTCCATACAAAGCGTGTACGACTTGCTTACATGGAAAAAAATTAACGAAACCTTTGAAAAAAAAAATATTGAATGGCCTACAAGATTGCTTGGATTTATTTTTTCTATTTAATTTTTTTATAAAAAAGTGGCGGAAAACGTTTTGTTTTTTAAATTAAAAATTCGTGTTTTTGCGAGCGCTATCTCTGAACTTTTGTCACAACTGTTTTCTTGGAACCGGCGACGAAATTTTCATATGAGACCGAAAAAAAAAAATAAGTCGTCTTATTCGACACAGGCTAATGTACACACATGCATATGTATGTAAATGAAGCTGTCTGTACAAACAAAAATCATTAGCGTACAGCAAGAATCTGTTAACGGAAAAGAGGAGAATAATAAACAAACTAACATACGCATGCACATAACATGCAGTAAATAGACAATGGAATGCGCCAATGTAAATATTATTTTTTTTGCTTTTTATTATAATTATTATGATTGAGCAAGATTAAATAAATATTTACAGTGTCTTTAAAAGTAATATGGTAGCGTGATTGCTTTTTCGCCTGCATCCTATACTTTGATTTAGGCAGTAAACTTTTACAAATGACATTGCACTACAAAACCGCGTTTACGCTGTAAAAATAATTAAATTGTTTAGCCTTTGATATATGTTTATGTATTTACGTACACCTACAAACATACATACATTTCTACATGCATATTTATGTAGAACGCACAATTTTATTTACTTATTTTTATTTTTCCATTTTTCAACGCCTTCGCTCTTCATACCCGTAGATAAATGCAACGTAAACAACTTACCAAGCCCAACTTTTCTGTTCACCTATGTACGTCAGAGCCATAAAATTAGCACAATAAAGCAGCGCCCAGTTATTTGTATGCAATAGAAGAACAGCATGTTGTTGTTTTTTTTTTGGTTTAAGGAGTTTTTGTTTTTAAATGTTTTCTTTTTTTTTAATTTAATTATCTGTAATTATTTTATTTGCTAATTATTGCTACATAGCAATGTTTATCTCATATCGCTTATCAGTTTATTTTTAAGGTGTTAGCAAATATTAAATCACCTCCAAATTGAATTGCAATACAAATTTATCTTGCGTTTATTGTTTTCGAAATTTTGTTGTTTTCTTAATCTGAATAATAATTTGATACTTATGTATGTATATGATACAAAATGTAACAAGATTGGTGATATTGTATGCAACAATATTTTGATTTTTAGGGAGCTAAAGCTTTTAGCTGGAGCAAAGAGCTGAAACAATTCTTTAGCTCCTTAGCTTCTTAAGGCCAGTACGCATCTCTCAAGAAAACGGTCAAGAAAAAATTATTTCGCATGTGTGTCCAAGGTATTTTAACATCTGATACTACACAAGCTGTTGCCTCACTCTTTCCTCAAGAAATAATGAAACGGGCATATATTTATGTGGCACATATGTATGGGTTGCAATGTGCTATTTTTTCACAAAAAAAAAAAAAAATAGAAAACCGTAGTAGAAAGCGTAGCAAATTTCTTAAGAACTGCGTACTGCCTTAAGGAAACTTGACACAAGAAAATTTCTTAGCCATTTATTGTACGTCATTTTATATGGAGTTTTTGCTTTTCTTGAGAGCTGCATACTGGCCTTAAAGGAATAATTTTCAGTTAATAAATTTATAAAATTTTTTTTTTGCCACTGAAAACAACCACGTTAAATAAGTTTCCATTCTATTTATTTTACTTGGCCATTGTGTTCAATGCCTATTTTCACACAAAAAGAACATTAAAAAAAAATTGTGCCTACCTTTTTTTGACGGTTAGGGCTCATATCGTCGGTTAAAGTACAACACCGCGTATCGTCATTCTGCAAAACCGCGTAACTGACATTTGCTGCCAAAAATTGGATTGCTTTATAAAAAAAGATAACCATTTTGAAATACGAGTGTTTTTACTCTCTAGAAAATAATTTATGCAACCTCACACACGCGGTTTTGCGTGAATTTTGTATTTTTTTACAAGTTACGTCTTTTTGCATTTCAGGTGACGATATGTTGTAGTAGTATATACTAGCTTAGAGTGACTTCTTATGACATTTCTTTAGATTGTGTAAACATTGCAGATACCTCAATAGTTCTCTGGGGCTCTCTTTGTGATGAGCTATGCCATCGTCCTTCGGACAAACTTTTGCCCCAACAAAGCAAGTCATTTTTGACACATCGACGTTGTTTGTGAATAAATTTTTGATCATAGCTTTTTCAGGGCTTCGTTCAAGCTCAGCATTTCTACTTCAGATTTAAGCCGATTTTAAGACAGTGCGTAAAGTTTCGCATCGAAGCTTAAATCACAACATATGTACACACATACATATGTACTATGCACGTACAAGCAACAGAACAATCCGCTTATCTATCTTCTTCGCTTTTCGGAACAGCAGCTGTATCATGTGAAGTTACATATGTAAGTACATTTGTACATACACATATACATAAGGATGGCTCACCAAAAAAAAACGTTGTGGTTTTTCCGCAGGTCTTAAAATGTATTATAATTTAAAATTTACGTCAAATTCTTTGGAAAAATATTACAATTTACGTGAACTGTGCCTATTAGAATGTACCAGCAAAAATCGAGTTTTATATTGAAAATATTTGTTTTAAAAAAATTTGGTTTTAAAAAAAAAATATATCATTTATATGTATTTTTAAAAACTTATTTTTATTTATACAAAACTCTATTTTTTTTAAGGTATTTTAAAGTAGGTCCAGCGCACGTTAATCTTAATATTTTTCCGAAATATTTTGGCGGCGTTCTTATACCATAATAAGTTTTAAAATTTCGATGGAAAAGCAGCACAGATTTTAATTGTTTTTGCATGGAGAGTCATGCACCCTGTTCATGCTTAGCCTGAAGTAATGGTGTGCAAAGTTAATTTAGAATACGCAAGGTGTTTCCTTTGTGGAATGCAATAATTTTACAAGGTTTTATTATATCAATTCAATTATTAATTCAAGGTAAATTTAAAACTACTTAGCGAGTACGAGTGTGCCATTGGCGTGAAAAACGTTTCAAAATAAACGAGGCGGTCTCTTCAGCGGCTCGAAAGCGAATGCAATGCTACTCCTGCAAAGCCGCCTTATACCACCGCCGTATATAATAAGCAAAAACCATTAGGTTACAATAGATTAAGTTACAATGAGTAGGTTCAAATTTCGAAAGTTACATTGGGTTTACATTTCAAATTTTTCATATACATGGTTTAAGAACCATTGCATTAATAATACAAGTAATTAATGATCGGTGAGGTCTGCGCTCATGTCTCCGACACACCCTAATAAACATGCATATGTAAGCATATACATATTTATAAAGCATCCAAAAGCTTAAGTAAGGTGATTTTTCACACTCTGCACCATCTCACACTAGTAAGCAGCAACAAAAGCGCTAAGTTTCTCAGCACTAAGTAGAAACACTTACCAAAGCCCCTTCAGTACAGTACTCGTAATACAATGAGTGCATGATTTAATACAAAGTAAAAGCTTCCATTCAGTTGGTTAGCAACTATTCAGATGAATATATGAATACTTACGTATACATATATGTATTTGTGCGTTTATTTCGGTATGGAAGTGTGGTAAATGAGTGCTTGTACGCAGTGTTGCCAGGTAGTTGAACTGAGAAATCGTCAAATCGGTTCTCGAAAATCGTCCTTGTTATCGAAAAATCGTCAACCCACCAAATATTAAAATAAACAATGTGCGGGAGGACTTTTGCAAATTGTTTGTTATATGAAAAAAGTAAATATAGAAAACTTCTAACGAATTATTTAAACTTACATTACTTATAACAGAAATATATTTAATTGCATTTAGATAAAAAAAAACATAGATATTTTCTAATGTACTAAGCTTATAACCAAATTTCCGGCTAAAATCTTTCTTTAACCCTTGTGTGTTGGGCAAGGTACTTGGGTATATATCAAACTTTTTAAATTAGAAAATAGACTTAAAGCTAAGCGAAAATATAATTTTCCCATGTTTGCTCATAAGGCAATCCAGTGGAAGTCGATATTTATACTTCCTTTTTCTTTTTATTAAAATTTGTTAGTCAATGCGTATATATAGTGAAGGAAGCATTTTCCAAAAAACCTTAGAATGTAGATGAAAGGCCTGATTTTTAGATACATATAACAAATTCTTTTAGTTTGGGTTAAATATTTTTGTGTTATACAGTTAAAAGCCCAATAATTTTCTGCAAAAGTAAAACAAAACGATAAATTGCCACTAAAACAGCTGCCACTAAAAAACTGCACACCAAGAAAAAATCGTCGTTTGCTTGTCGATATAGTCAAATCGTCAAGACAGTTGAAAATCTTCCAAATGACGACGAAATCGTCAACCTGGCAACACTGCTAGTACTACAAACGTTGCAATATTGACAAACCACATGAACACACCAAACGCTTGGCTGACTACATACATATTTAGAACGCTATTGTATTTTATATTTCGGTACACAGGTGCATATGTATGTATGTGTCAGTGTATTAAAGTTTAGGCCATTTCAATTAAATTATACCCACAATAAAACATATTTTGTTGCTTGTCAATATTTTCTTTATTTTGATGTACATTAATACACTCTTATCTAAGACATGCCACGAGTTATTTACTTTTAACAAGCACATTTTTATTATAAACATGCATAGTATGATGCATAAGTACATACATATATATGTGGTGTTTAAGGATAGTCGAATGCGTAACGAATATTTTGTTACATACTTATGTACGAGTTTTATTCGCTCGGCTTATCAGTTTTGGCAGCAACTCTTAGCATTTATATCCCAGAAGTAGCGACTTCAGTGGACTACCTATAAATAGAAATTTACGTATGAAAGGGAGTAAAGTGGATAAATACAGCATGAAAATGATGGGTAAATAAAATCCATACAAATATATACTACACGGCAAAATAACAAAGCTGCAGAGAAGCAAATAACTATTACGAACATTTGGTATTAGCATATACAGTCGGTGTCAAATGTTAGTGTACACCTTGTTCTAATATAATATGTATTCACAATTATTTTCATGAAAAATTTTTTCAATAATAATTTATGAAAATATAATTAATTGTGTAATATAAACTATATAAAGCTACGTTTCACACTTTATATAAAGTTCCAAAAATTCAAAAAAATTTCATACGAATTTCGAAAATTTTATTCAGAGTTTCTAGAAAATGTTCATCGAGTATGCAGTTTTGTAGCCCGTTCAAATTTAGTGCAAGTTTCAAGTCGCTAAAAAATGCCGCTTGATTTGTCGAATTTATTCGTGGTATTGCGCGTTTTCTTCCATATAACGCATGATCAAAATCTCTATTTATATAGAAGAAGAATCAACGGTCATTTTTAGCGACTTGAAACTTGCACTTTTTATACTAGAATTGCACGGACTACAAAACTGCGCACTCGAAAATTTTCTAGAAATTCCGAATAAAAATTGTGTAATTATTATGAAAATTTTTTCAACCTTTGTTAACTTTACATAAAGTGTGAACTTTTGATTTACAGAATGAATAATAATAAAAAAATAATTAATGGAAAAAATTTTCCAGGAAAATAATTGTGAATATTTTATTAGATCAAAGTGTACACTAACATTTGACACCGACTGTAGACAAAATTTAAATACAATAAACATGCTTTCATATGTACATCTGTAACCGGGTGGCACAGTGGGGCAAAGGCGAAATTTGATATTCTTACCGGAGTTTAAATTGTTTTTTTTTTTAATACAAAGGTATTTAAATTCTTAAAACGTTTTAGGTGGAGCAACTTTTTGGAATTTTAATTTCTTTGCAGTAAACTTTATGACCAGGGAACGGATTTTTAGGACCTAAAAAAAACCTATAAAAAAGGCGAAATGAATTTTAAAATTTTATATAACAAGCTAAAAGATAAAAACTATGAACTAGTTTCATTATATGAACAATTTGTACTTTATTTCATAAAAAAAATAAAGTAAGTTGCTTTATTTTGTATGAATAAAGCCATAAATCTTTTACTATTTTCTCCTTTCGAGTTTTCAGCTCACAAAACTTTAATGACTATAGTGGTAGCAATATTGAACCACAAAATGAATTTTGAAGTTTTCTGGCAGCATTTTCATTCGATGCTCGCGAAAAAAAGCCTTGAATGTACTAAACGTGAGCTCGACGTAAGTTGATTCAAATGGCGCCCAATTTAAATATGGAACGTTTTAAACTTTCATATTATCAGGAATAAGGGCTTTTTCCTCGCCATAATAACTATTTTAAGGGTATATTTAAAAGGCAAAAAAGGTAATATCTTAAAAAGGTAAAAAAAAAAGGCAACATCAAATGTGTATGTATGGAATCAGCGAAAGCTAAATCATGGACATCCTTAATCGAATATACTCTGTCTCTTTAGCAGAAAAAAAGTCAATTTCCATAAATTCCGTTCCGTTTTTATGACTGTAATTTCTAGTTAATTTTTAATATTTTCTTTTGTTGATGGTGCTAAACATTATCTTCCACATCCAGTGGCGTACAAATGTTTTGGCACAAAGAATGGCAAATGGTGTAAAATTCTTGAAAAGCAATATTTTTCGATCAGAAAACTTTGTTTCTCTGCAGCAGACTCTCAACAATAATATCCAATTGTTTTTAACAACTTTTTAATGAGAACTTTTTTTTGTAGATCCTCAAAAACCCCAATGATGCAATGAGGGGACAATAATAAATCGTTAGTATTAAGAAATGCTTAAATAAAAAATTCGTTATTATTAATGGAAGTCTCCTGAAGACCAAAACAGCATTCCGATAGAAAAATATTTGAGGGATTCACAACGGTGTCGTAAGTGTCGCATTGTTTTATGTCGTAAACTTTAAAAGCATTTAAATAACTTTTAAATGTTTAGAGAGCCTGAAACCACAACCAACCACTTAACACTGCGAAAATTCCTAATATAACTTTTGTGGTACTTTGCGAGCCCCCGTAATATATTTTTTAGGTGTTTAAAGTTTACGACATACAACAATACGACACTTACGATACCGTTGTGAATACTCCAATTGATTTTCAAGAATTATATACCATTTCTACGAAACATAGTTTTTTTCATATAAAGTACATACATACATACATGGAAAACTTTGATCGCTTTGAGCGACCTCTAAACATTTTTTGATTTCAAAATAAGAAAAAAACGTAGGTATAATTTTTGCCGGTATAGAACAATCCTAGCGGGTGAGAGCATAAAAATTCCGCCGTTGGTTTTTTTTACCACCCTAACGTATTTATTTTTATTGAATATATTTTTGCACCCCGAAAAAGCATCTGTGACGTGCAGAAGGAAAGAGTATTGAAGGAAAAATTCAATCAGACAAATTTCACAAACGTGCACTTTAGTGGGAAAACTAATCGTCAAAGTATCCAGAATCGGTAAATTCCACATTTCATCAACTTTTTTCCTTTTTCATTCGGATTTTTGGATTTTTTGCTGGCTGGGTACATATTTAGTACATACAATCCCTACATTCGTAAGTCTAAGTATGTACACATACATACATATATGTATGGAAGTATGTGTCTGTTTCCAATCAAATATATAGTATTTAGCACGCGCGTGTATTTCTTCCAGGCATACATTTAGGCATATGCGAAGCGAAATCTTAATACGTATTTGCCAAACTCAATACGCGCTTACTATAGCATACCTTTCGGCCCAAACACCTACTACATACATAACTATCGCTAACAAATACACATGTATGTATAAACATAATATGTAGACGTGCTTTCAATATAATGAGTTTGGGCGGTTAAGCTTGTTACTAATCTGTTTGTTGGTACCTAGAAAGAGGTTTTAGGCAAAAGAAAGATTTATTTAGTATTCAATAGATGGGCAACTAAAATTAATTACAATGGCAATAAGATGCATAGCTACGCTAAAAGAGTATGTATGTATGTAAACACTAATGACGGTAATAAAGTAGGTAATATAGCCACAGCTTATCCCTTGGTTAGTGTTTGTATAATTTTTTCTATGAAATTCAGAATCATATATCAATCATACGACAAGCAATCCTGTTAGCGGGAAGCGCAGTGAGGGGACCAATAAAAATCGGTATTATTAAAAAAAATGTTAAATAAACAATTGGGTATTATTATTGGAAGTCTTCTGAAGAGAACCAGAGTTTTCCAATGGAAAAATATTGATTTTCAAGAATCATATATTATTTCTACGAAAAATTGTTGTTTCACCGTATAAAATACATTGAAAACTTTAAGCGCTTAGGGCGGCCTCGAAATATTTTTTGATTTCAAAATAAAAATAGGGCTATATTTTAATGATATAGAACAATCCTAGGGAGAGTGAGAGCGTTAAAATACCGACTTAACTTTTTAGGCCCGCCTTATGTACATATCTACCAAAAAACATTAATTGTTAAGATACAAATTTCAATTAAAACAACGTGGCGACGCTCATCGGAAATAGTTTAAATTAAAGTTCTCCAAAATACCTTTCATTTCATATCCATATTGCGTTGCTTCAGTGAAATTTTGTAGAATGAAAAACACTAATATCCGAAGGGAACACATTTATTATATAGGCAAAGCTTTGTGTAAGGGCCTTGTTTTAGTATTCATGAATGGTAACGTTGTATATTTATTTACTAAACAAAAAATTAATAAATGTATGATAAAATCAGGTGGCAACCCTAAAAACGATATTTCCGAATAGTGAGTATTTTCCATTTGGTACCCATATAATGATGCTTTATTGAATTCGTAACTAATTTCAAATAGGTTTCAATCTCAAACGAGTATTCTCAGAGATAATACCCAACTTGATAACCAAAAGGAATCTATGGGGATATATATAGATATCTATATGTTTATTTACATACAAGAATCGCTTGTTTAGTTAGATAAGTACAGTCCAAACTATGTTAAAAAATCATGGAAAATTTGTATATGCGCTACCTGTGTTGCCAGTGGTAACGTGGCGGGCATTTAACGGATTCATATATGACAATGTCGTAGACTGAAAAAGATGATGAAATAAACAAAAATATTTTCTACAAATTTTGTTGTTTCAGTTTTAAAGATAATCTGCGGTTTTATTTAAATAAGCAAAAATATTTTCTACAAATTTTGTTGTTTTATTTTTTAAAGATAATCTGCGGTTTTACTGAATCACCTTATACATTCATACCAGAGACAAAGTTTGCATATTGGGTTTGAGTCATACAAAAATTCGATAGCTCCTCTTCTTCTATTCGCAACTACATATCACGCATCCATTATAATAATTTTACTAAAATCATATCATTTATTATGGGTAAACGCCCTAAAACAATTACCAATAAATATGGGAGTGTCAAACAACTGAACTAGTTACATACATACAAATGTATGTACATATACATGCAAGCACATAGATATGTTAGTACTTCTATTAATCAGTGTAATCATTTTAATTAAATTAATCTATGTTTGACCTTGAAATCCATATTTCTCAACACAACGCTGTGCGCTTATGCAAAACAGAAACAACAACAAAAACTTGTGATTCAAATCAGATTTTATTACGCGATCGTGATTTTGCTATAATTACAGAAAATTAGCGTATGCCTCTATTCAATTTGTCACAAGTTGTACTCGCTGACAGCCCCCTTGGATGCAGTGTTCCCCCTTCACTACGCATTTTAACAGCTGACTAATATTTTACATATGAACTACTCGTACAAATAATATGTTGTTTCCGTTCGGTGAATGATTAAGCAACATTATAAAATTTTTAGTATTTAATAATGTAACATCTTAAGCTGAAATAGAGAACATGAAAAGTATTTTTTGTTTTTTTTTTTTTGTTTTGTTGTTTTTCATAATTAGATTTTGGTTTAGTGGCTTTTGTGTGCATTATTGTAGAAAAGTTTGTACTATTAAGCGAATACATTGTTGATAGTTAAATTACTAAAAATTTGAAACTACTTTGTAAACAGAAGTTTGAAGCAACGCACCCGCACACACACACTCACACACACACAATTGCATGCAAACAATGAGTATGACTCCACCTCACTTTGACGCCAAAATCACCAAGCGTTCAATTAGCTCAGAGGCAACAACCACTACGATACGTAAAAACTTACATTCACACAAGGGAGTAACAATTTTTAAATTTTTTTGTTTTTGTTATGATGTCACAAAAGAAACTATTTTTAATCTTATCATAAGATCTATATACTCGTATTAGTAGGAGATCCGACAAAGGCACGACTTTCACCCATCTGTTTAATGGAAGAAATCTTTTTTGTATGAAATTTAAAGTGTTAGGAAATATTTCGTGAGTGAAAAATCCTGGCCAACATATTTTTTATTAAAGATTCAAAAAATAATAATTATTTTAATTTTGCATTCATTTGTTTAATGAACAAATTACATATGGGGCAATCGAAAGCATAAAGCCTATAGAATGTGTTAAAAAGATGGGTGAAAATTACTAATATTACCTACCTGCTCATACCTGCCAACACGATAGGTAAGCCAGAAAAAAAATAGACAACCCAACGTTTTCACATTCTAAAGGCTTAATACTTTTGATTGGTATATAATTTGCTCATTAAACAAACGAGTGCAGAATTAAAAAAAAATAATAATACTTTTTGAGTATTACATTAAAAATGTCCTGGCCGGGATTTTTTCAGCCAACCCACTCGCAAAATATTTAGTTACACGTTAAAATTTATAGAAAAAAGATTTCATCCATTAAACAGTCGTGCCTTTGTCGGATCTTAGACTATATATAAAAAAAAATTAAGTTCGTTTGTTCGGCAGGCAAAAGCTCGAAACGGCTTATCGATTTGAATAATTCTTTTTTAATTTGTTCCGGTGGAATTAAAACATAAAAAATAGAGAGTTGCCAACTGTTTGAAAAACTTCGATTGATAAATAAACAAATGAAATATTATAATTTGGATATCAAACTAATGAGGCTTAACCCTCCGTGTAAGAGGTGGGGTATACCACACCCCAGCGGTTTAAAAATCGTAATAATTCGTAAGTAATAAAAACGGGCGAGTCCATTTTCCCAGCAGCTATACTATAAATTCAATGCTACCATTCCGATTAGCGCAATTAGTTTAGTCCGGCTTTCGCTACGAATCGCATAACAAGTGCGCAAAGTGTCCTTGCATATGTGCTATTTGAGTTTTGTACTAAAGAATTAACATTAGTTCATAAGCTGAAGAAAAATTTGTGTTTTTTTTTTTTTTTGTTTTTTACTAAAAGCCTATTAAAATGTATAAATAAAATGTTATACTCATTCATTACTAGATGTTAAAGAAATGCGTTATTATTAACCAGGGACCAAACTAACAATTATTGATGAAAACTGTCATGGAAAAATTCACTATGAAGGAAATGTTCTACAACTAAGTGATACATACCAATCGATTTCTTTTTTCACCGAGACTCAAATTTGAAAATAAATTTTTATTTTCAATTTTTATGCAAAATTAAAAAAATAACAATTATTTATGATTTTTATATAATAAATCCAAAATAACAATTATTTTTGATTTTTATATTATATGTCTTAGGTAACAGTTATTGAAGACTTTTATTTACTTAAGTCATCAATAAAAATCAGTCAGTGACTTTGGCTTTTAAAAGTCATCAATATAAAACAGTCACCGACTTTTATTTTTTAAATCATTCGTATAAAAGTCATTAACATTTTTCGCTGTTAAGAAAGGTTCCTACGACTTATACAAATGACTTTTATAAGTATGATTTTAAAAATAAAGGTCAGTGACTGATTTTTATTTACGACTTTTATAAATATAAGTCTTCGTTAACTGTTATCTAAGACATATAGTTTAAAAATCAAAAACAACTGTTATTGCAGATTATTTTTTTTATATTTTTGGAGAGGGTTGCCACATGTTTCAAATTCATTTAAATTGGCAATTAAAATATCATATTGTCGGTGTATTTGCAAAACCGCCCATCACCCAATTGCAAAACCGCCTATCTTACGGCACTCAAATTTTACAGGAGAGTGAAGAAACGGTTTATTCTTTGAAGGCATTGCCTTGATAGGCGGTATTTTCTCTAGCTATTATTTTACAAATCTGTTTTTTTTTAATAACGATTTAACGATTTTTATGCATAAATCTCAATGCCTGGAGTTCAGGATTACCAAATCTCAATTTTGCCATAACGGCGATTTAGGCGGTTTTGCAACTGGTTGATAGTTTTTTTTTCTGTATCACAATGGAAAGTTTCATGTAAACTAAATATACCAAATTTGAAATTTCAAAAGCCAGTGGAATTTTTAATTTTTGACCAGCTTTTTTAGCTCTTCACGCTACCACGGCTTTAATAATGCATTAGACGTTTTCAACCCCAATTTGCGCAAAATAAAATACAAAAATTACCTTGAGTATTTATAGTAATACAAACTTTCCTTAGAAATGTTTTGGCAGTAATCAATAAGTGGCGCCTTCTTTGGAGAAGTATTGAATATTTAGCCAACGTACCTGTCATTTTGGTATTTCAAATTTAAGTGGTGCGTTCTGTGGAGCAGAAGTGTTGTGGACTGCATACTTTGAACCGCCATCAAATTATAACTTGAATTTTATTACATGGTAGTTGAGAAGTGCGTATGCAAAAATTTCATAAATTTAATGAAGGAAATGTTTGCACATGCACCTGAACATAAATAGTATGCATTTAGGCGATTGGTGTAGTAGTCGCACATAAATACTTAGAAATTAGTAACAAAGCAGTTTATAAACAAAGCAATTACTAAAATATATTTTTAAAAAATTTATTATAAAATTATGAATACCAGCACAACGAAATCAGTAAATATATCGCCGCCCTTATGCCAGAAGCGTGAATGTGTAAATTTCCCACTTTTGGGTTATTGGGTTGACTTTATTAAACTTTGGATGTACATAAGCCTCGTAAAAAAAAAAACTTTCAAACTTGATTTACCAAAATTCTCATTTTTACACATTCATGTTTCTGGTATACGGTTGACGATATTTATGTACACATACTTAATCTTATTTACATAGAGTAAGAAAGTTTATTATAATTAAGCGGTATCAACAGCAAAGCAACAATAACATTGAAGAAGAAAAAAA